CCACCACATGTATTATTTTACATTAAGATTAAGTTAGGGTAGTTGGGGAAGAGTATCTTTTATATTTTTGCTAAATCTGTATGTATGAACTTTAAATCTGACAGCAAGACAAGTAGGTCTCATTTAACAAAGTTTTTTTCCTTTTTTTCCCCCACTGAAAATAGGATCTTTCTCAGGAGAAGTAATCTCCTTGTAATCTCTAATGTCCTTTTACATCAGATTGCAATCTGTTATCTGTGCACAGAGCTTCTCACATAGAACATCAGAGCTCTCTTTTTAAGTCAGGGTTTCATTTAAAGATCAGATAGAAACGATTGCATTATTGATTCTTTACTTCAGTATAGTATTCTGAGTTTAAACTGATTATGTTACAATCCTTTTGTACTCATAACGTTTGGATTTTTAGGAAGGATGATATGAAAAAAGAACCAGCCCTTGAAGTTGGTATTTAGACTAAGAAAATTTTAGGATTTAGCAACTAATCCTAGACTTGGTTTTTAGAAGTTTTTCTGACCTCTTTTGTTACCATTCATGTTATCCGTCTCGGGCAGCTTCACAATGTCTTTGTTCTGTCAATTGACAGACAGATATTTAACAAATACTCCTCATCCGTTTTGTCAACGGGCATCACCAGCAAGCTGTGCTGGATTTTTAGCTCAGAGCTGTGTCAAAGAGGGGTGTAGTCCTTTTGCTGGCAAAATGTAACTTTTGTTCTGGAGATAGCACCACAGGTAACATGATGTTCAGGTCTTCCTGGGGAAGAGAGAGAAAAATGCTGTTTTCTATGGATTTTCAAGCTGCTGTGGCGCATGTGATATCAGAGGGATTGGCTGTGTAAAAACACATCCGAAATCTAATGTTCTCTCATGTGGGACTTCTAGCTCTAATTCTGCAAGTTGTAGTTTAATCCTTAACACCATGTCACCAAACAGCACAGTGTCTACCTGTAGTCTTACATATTGGCCCACTGACCGATTATAAGACTGTAGACACCTGTGATGCTAATTAGCTAACTCACTCACATGTCTGTTTTTTTTATTTTTTATTTTTTATTTCTTATTCAGACATATTGATGACTTAATTTTTAAAAACCGTTCTGTTGAAACGTCTGTGATTTGTTCATTTTCATAGAATTAGTCTAATTAAAGTTATTTCTGCTACCATGCTGGGTTTTTCTTTCACTAAACAAGGGATACTAAAACTTTTGTTCATGTGCTTTCTTCTGAGATTGTAGGGGATAAATTGAGTCTTAAAATCATCTAAATTGATTAGCATTCATTATGAACTATCTTCACCTCGACAATATATAACGGTTAAATTCTGCTCTACTTTTATCTTGTCATGTTTTTCATGTATTGCTAAGTATTATCAACCTTTAAATCTAGAAATAAGCCATGACAGGCAAGGTTTGAAACATTTAATAATTTAGTAGCCTATGTATTTATTTTTGTCCTTTTTGAAAGAACAAAGCAATAATCCCGAAAGAGGTCTAAGATGTATTTACAAGTGTTTGGACAAAAACTTTTGAAGCAAAGGAACTGAGAAAGTCACATTCTATATATTTTTTTTAAAAAACGGGCATGCTGCCTGTGTAAAATAAGATGCTATTTTCATAACACCTATGCCCCATACTAAATGTTTGAGATTGTCAAAGCTTTCTCGGTACTAGTGGTACTAGTTTCATTACTGTGTCATGGAGGACTTTCTAACTCATAAATACATATTATTCCAGGTACAAATTAGCCGCTTGCACTTTTTTTTGCATTTTTTTTGCAGATCTTTGTAGATCATTTTAGGATCGAGTTCTAAAGGACCCAGGCATTCCCTTGAACCCTCTGAAATATTTATGCCTTGAGTTTTATGGCAGCCTGAGCTGGAAAAGAAATGGTCACAAAAACAGCGTGGATACATATGCAATTACCATGTGAATAATGGTGGGGAGGGGGGAGAGGGCTGTGCATTGGAAGGGTGGGTCATGCTGTGAGAGTTGCATCCAGCCAGACAAAGGGAGCAGGGGCTCTGTAGGTGGATGTTTGCTAATGCAACCAAAGCCTCAATCCTGTCAAGAACAGTCATTCAGATTAACAGTCTCAGAAATTTAGAGTAAAGGTGTGTGTGTGTGTGTGTGTGTGTGTGTGTGTGTGTGTGTTTTCTGAAAGCTGGGGCTTTCTTGCCTACACCAAAAATACTCAAACATTCAAAAATTGATGGAAACTCTTAAACTACAGAATTTGCACTTGGGCCTAGAAAAGTATAACTGCTCAGTAAAAGGAAAAATGTAATTATTAGCATTTCGCAGTGACAAAAGTTAAGATTGTTTATTTCTGCCATAACAACAGAAAAGTCTCAAGTACTTTTTAAACCGTGGAATTAATGCTAAGCAATGATGACCTGGCATTGCCCTGCAACTGGCAACCTTTCCAGGTTGTACCCCGACTCTCACCCATTGGCAGCTGGAGATAGGCACCAGCCCCCCTCGCGACCACAGCAGGGATTGGCGAGACAGAAAATTGATGGATGGATGAAATGATGACCTGGCAGTCTGTGTTAGCAGCAAAAGATATTGCAAATAGTAAGGACACTTGAGCCAAGGCGGAAGTGCATCAACAGTCCTCATAGTGTTATCAGTATAGTGCGGTATAGTGAGGGCAGCGAGAACGGAGGTAGATGTATGAAGTAGGTTGAATAGGGATGGAGACAGTTCTTTGCATGATCTCACTTGTATGCAGAGTTCACCTCAAAGAGTTTAACAATAGCACATTCTATTGTGACATGTAAAGTGTGTTTGAATCTAGCAGCAGTGTCCTCCAAAGGCCTGATTTATCACCAATGACCTCATAGCATAGGGCAGTCATAGCTAAGACTCTTTATGTGGTTAAGTCCATGTCCGGTTAGGTCAGGTCTGGTGTATCCTTCGTAGCCTAGGGTATCCCATGATTCATTGCTAGTCAAAGCAAGCTTGCTGCTTCGTGCCCAGAGTAAAAAGGGAAATTGGGATGAACAATGGTGAATATTTTAAGTGCAGTTTAATATGATACAACTATGTGAAAAGCTTCATCTTAAATTAATGAAAATTATTAATTCAAGTGGTTAGTGAGTCAGATTTAGGTTTATGGAAAGTTCAGTCCCTGTGTAAATGCATTTGGCTGGCATTTAAGAATGCATTCCAATATCTGTGCAGGGTGTAAACTACCAATGTGATATCTGTGATGATGGTAATGTTGTCGAAGCCTCTGAAAAATGAAATTGGTACACTAAACTGTAAGAGGTTTGGCATCCATTCTTTTTTTATGTGTGTCTGTTTTGCCAATATGGCTCAGGGAATAATTGTCCCAGAGACGATTGACTGTTGCCATAAGGTTCCATTTGGTATATGAAACTTTATTGAAAATTATTTGTTGAGTAAAACATAAACAATGGAAACGAAGACAACGAAGGTGAGAAGGTGATGCTGACGAAGGTGAGACTCCTTTAAGTCTGCTTCCACACCTGTATGAGATGAAGGGAACAGAAGACAGAGAACATAAAAAAATAAGACAACAAAGTAGACATGAAGAAAAATCTTGTAGAGCAGCAAGTATGCCTCAGATATCCATGCGTGTGAAAGGCAAAAAAAACCCTATGCTGATTATGCACTATTATCTATGGTGGTATTAAGTATTACTGTCTATCTGTACAAACTTCAAACCAAACTCCCGTGGTATGTATGCATGGGCATGCATATATAAATGTTTATAAGGAATTTATGGAGTTTATGTCATAAGGAATATGGATTAATAGCAGGTGTGGGTGGCCCCAGACTCTTCCTATCGGGCCCAGGATCAATAAAGAAATGAAACAAGCCCCTGATATTTCAAAGGCACCCCAATCACTGGGACACAAGGAGGGCAGACATATTGATGGCCACAACAAATCAGAGAAGGGCTAACGAGACCCCCAGAGCCCGACTCCTGAGGACCCATACCCCATAAGGGGTCAGACCCAAAGGCCATAGGAAATGTATTGATCGTTGTATGTTATTATTACACACATGTAATATATATTACAGACACTTTGTTTAACAGTAACATGTTATGAATAAACCTTGAGAAAGAATCTGGCTTGTTATGGGAAGAAGCTATGTCTGGTCTACAAACACCATCCCACAGAGAATTGCGTGGCCTTGAAGGTGAAACAAACTGAGTGAAAAGTTTTATACAGAGTAAATAGGATAAATTAATATAAAATAGAAGAGAAATCCACATTTTTCGACAACAAGTACTACTATAAAATACAGATGGCTGAAATGCACATGCCAACTACTAGTTGGCATGTGCATTCTGTCTATTTCTTAAAAGGTGTGTTATTTGTTTTTTAGGTCTCTTTCGCCACACTGTACATGATCAAAGTAGCCCAGTACTACAAATGTTAAATCATTATGCTGATGATGCAGTAGTTTCATAGCAACAGAAGATATTTGTACATGGTGTTCTTTTGTCTAATATCAATATTCATTTTCTTTTAATCAATTTCAAAGTGAAATTTCGCAAACTGAACATTTTTTTGAAACAATTGAAGAGCATTTTTCTTGCATTGAGCAAACAGAAATACATTTGTAAATCTTAACTGTTGAAAAACTAAAAAAGTATACTCTGATTTACTATCTCACAAGAAGGATTATTTTGAGTTGCTTATATGAATATATTTTTTTAGATTTGAAGGCAACCCACTCAAAATCCTCCAGTTTTTTCCTTGATTTATCCAGTATTTAGCTAAATGTTTTTTTCTTCTTTCGATCTCTCTTTATTTTAATTGTAACACTGGAAAAATCATTATCGACATTTCATCTGATTGTAAGCATATGTCTGTCATTTCTGTAGATAAAACACTCCATTGTTTATACATGCTGGCCTTTTCCACTGGTTTTGTTAGAGCATCAGACATGCAAAGGGAGGAGGGATGGGAGGGTCTGAGAGATGGAGAGGAAAAGGGAAAGAGGCAGCAGCCACTCAGCAGCAGGTTAGTGATAGGAGGAGGAGAAAGAAGTAAGGAGAGGGAGGAATTGGAACGAGGGAAACCGTGTGGCTTCAGTTTGAAGCGACACAAACACATGCAGGGAGGTGGAGAACCGGAGAAGAGAGAAGGTAAGAAGGCAGCTTCGCCTATCTGTCAACATTTGCTTGTTTTCAGTGTGAACACAAGGCATCAGCTGCCTGACCAGGCTGGGTAGCTTTACTATTCAGTGAGTGTCTCCCTCTTCTTCCCCTCTCTGCCAGCTGACTGAACACTTGGTGTGGAGAGAGATGTAGCACTGCAGAGAGATGGAGAAGAGCAGGAGGGAGGGAGGGAGTGCAGCATTAGGCTCTACAGATAAGAGGAAGTAGAAAAGGAGATCTGTGAGGAAAACTGGTGGAAACGGGAGGGAAATGCTAACATCTGCCTTTGCCATTCTATGTGGAACTGATAGGATGAATGTAGGGGGGTGTGAAGGAAATCTGTACACGGGAGCGTCAGCTGTCAGCATCTGTAGTTTCCCTCCATTATGGAGATTGTAAGTTTTTGTCTGGCCACACCCTCTGAGAGATGAGATTAGATGATGGGAGGCATTTGTGGCTGGGAATGAAATGGGAAACGTGTGTAAAAGGGATGTTGGATCCTGGCCAAACATGCTTAGTGGTCCCTCCCATTACAGTCAGGGCAGTGGATTACCCGTATATGAGCGGTGAGGAGACCAGCTGAGATGCTCAATCACGAGCAGACAAAGATGTTGTTATACTTAAACATATCTATGTTTGGACACTCCTCACCTAGTTGCATTTCTTCTTGTTTACTATTGATGATCTGAGACACTAAATATATCACCAAAGCTTGTAGTGTATAACCTCAGTATAACAGCATGACCGAGCATTTGTTGTTTCAGTGTCTCAGAGCTGTGGGATTTTCACGGAATAACAGACTGCATCTCACGTTAGAGCAATTTTTAGGAGGATGTCTGTAATAATTCCTGAACATATGCAAATGCAGCACAGTAGACACTCCAGATGGCACGATTTGTGTTACTAGCATAAGATATAAACAGAGAGAAGCATGTATTAATAGGACTTGATGACAACAACAACAAGCTACATCAGACTGATGAATAACTCCAGCAAAACAAAATAGGTGTGGGATTGCCTGGCCTGTCCTTAACTGACTTGAACATCCCCCGCCCCAAAGTTAATTATTTTGCCATTGGATAATCTGCTCTGATTCAAACCCATTCTGCTGCACTTATGCTCCTCCACTCTGAGTGCTGTTTGTTGATTTAATCAATTTGTAAATTTTTTGCTTGAAAATTATAGGCATCAGGTTTAAGATTATTTTATACTAACTTTTTATATCCCATAATTATAGCAGCTCTGTTGCACATTTGATTGCTGGTTGGATCAGATTTTTTATTCTATAAAAGAAAAATGCTGTGAACAACGTTGCATTAATTTCAGATTTAATTTTATTTAAGTTTGTTTTCTCATACAACTGTATCGGATCAAGATACAAATTTTTAAAATCATACAAAATAATTGTAATTAATAAGGGAAACAAAGCTGCCCAGACTAACATCTCCCTGTTTTAGAAGCGAATGAATTAATGCCTTGTTTAATAATTGTTAACCAAATATTCTTCTGCTCTTTGGATAAGCTAATCCTGACTTTTCTAGCCACAAACAGGCCTCATTACCTCTCCTGTAAAATTCAGAATAAAAAAAAAAAATAGAATCTGTTTGATAACATGAAATAGGCTTAACGATCTTAAAGGGCAACACATAATGGACAGTTTCATTGTCACAATTAATGCCTGAAGTGCACAAAGAAATATAATGAAGTCATATGAAATCAATCGGCCATCACTTAGACTTGGAGTTGACAACTTTTATAGTCAATTTGTATACAGAGTGTACAGCTTTCAAAACATTTCCATGAGGTGCAGCAGTGATCAAATGGTTTAGGAGAAAAGACATGGTGTGAAAACACATTTATATAGAAGTTCAGAGCATTGAATATGTAAACAAAAGATATGTAGAATTTTTTTTGGTGTTATCTACATGACGCAGTGTCTGTGACATGATTTAGAGTTTTCTCAACACTTCAGCTGTCTGATGGCAGTGGGGAAGAAATTGTTTCGGAATCTGTTGGACTAAATACTAAATACTGTGAAGTCTCTTCCCAGAGGGCAGCAGGTAGAACAGTCCATGATGGGGATGTGAGGGGTCATAGATGATGTTACGGGCCCGGGAAACACAGTGCTGGGATGAAATGTCTTTAAAGGAGGGAAGAGGAGCCACGATGATCCTCTCTGCTGTTTTTACCACCCTTCTCACGTTCTTCCAGTCTGAGGCGCTGCAGCCTCCACACAACACAGTGAGACAGCTGGTCAGAACACTCTCTATGGTGCTTCTGTAGAAGATCGTGAGGATGGGTGGTGGCAGGTGGGCTCTCCTTATCCTCCGCAGGAATTATATGCGCTTTGGTGCTTTGGTGACTCGGATGACACACGCAGCAGTGTGTCATTAGAGTGAACACCAGGGGGCTCAGGATGCAGTCCTGAGGGGAGCCTGTGCTTAGGGTGATGACATCAGTGGTGTTATGCCCGACCCGGACTGACTGAGGTCTGTTTGTGAGGAAGTCTAACAGCCAGCTGCAAAGGGGTGTATTGAAGCCCAGCTGTTCCAGTTTGCCCATCAGATGCTGTGGGATGATGGTGTTGAAAGCTGAACTGTCCAGGAACTGCATTTGCACGTGGGTGTTTTTCTCCAGGTGTGCTAGGCTCAGATGAAGAGCGGAAGAGATGGTGTCCTCAGTGGAGGTTTTACGTCGGTAGGCAAATTGGAACGGGTCGAATGTTAGGGGGAGATTGGAGACGTTCTTTTATGAGCCTTTCGAAGCACTTCTTCATGATAGGAGTGAGGTGACCTGAGGCTTCTTTGGGACAGGAATGATAGTGGCAGACTTTAACATGCTGGCACTATGGATTGGTCCAACGTTGTGTTAAAAATGTCTGTGTCATTGTCTATGTCACCAGCCAGCCTGCACACTTTCTTGGGTTGTCTCTCCACAGAGTTTTCCTCACTTCAGCTATGTCAAGATTGAGTGCCTCCTCTTCCTGATGTGGAATAGCTTCCATTGCTGGAGTTCTATTTAGTGCCTCAAACCTTCCAAAGAAGTTTAGTTCATCTTTTAAGTCAGCATCTGCTGCATCTACTGGGGGGAAGGGTGAGTTGTAGTTTGTGATCACGCCCGTATGCCTTGCCACATCTTCCTGGTGTTGCTGGTCTAATGCAAGAGATCCTGGATATTCTGGCTGTGGTTCTGCTTCCCTGATCTGATGGCATGGTTCAAGTTGGCACACGCTGTCCTCAGTGCCTCTCTATAGCACAACCTGAAAGCAGAGTTCCGTGTTTTTAGCATTTCCCGAACCTCTCCAGTCATCCAGGGTTGTTCGTTGGGCCGGGAGGTGATGTTCTTTGTGATGCTGACATCCTCTACGCAATTGTTGATGTAGGTTGACACAGTCCTGGCATACTCATCTATATTTATTTTGTTGTCATATGTTGCTGCAGCTTTGAATATATTCCAGTCAGTCACAAATATTAGGATTAGGGTTAGCCCTCAGGGGAGGGGATAAGCAAAATGTTAGAAATTAGTTTTAGGTGTTGATTCCATGGACCTAAGGTTTAGGTTTCTTACAAAAGTTCTGGTGGATGCTGGAGACACTGTGGAGAGTGATCTTGCCTGCAACATCCTTCAGCATAACCAGATTGGCAGTAAGTCAGTAATGGTACGGGGTGGCATTTCTTTTGAGGGCTGCAGAGCCCTCCATGTGGTCGCCTGAGTTAGCATGATTGCCATTAGTTACCAAGATGAAATCCTCAGACCTCTTGTGAAACCATATGCTGGTGTGGTTAGCCCTGGGTCCCTACTAATACAGGACAATGCTACACCTCATGTGGCTGCAGTTTGACAGCAGCTCATGCAAGATGAATGCATTGAATCTATCGACTGGCCTGCCCTTTCCCCAGACCTGAATCCGATTGAGTACATCTGGATCATAATTTCTCTATCCACCCACCAACGTCATGTTGCACCACAAACTGTCCAGGAGTTGGTGGAACCCTTAGTCCAGATCTGGGAAGAGATCCCTCTGGAGACCATCCACCACCTCATCAGGAGCATTCCCAGGCATTGTAGGGAAGTCATATAGGCATGTGAAAGCCACACACAATACTGAGTCTCATTTTGACCTGTTGTAAGGACATTACATCAAAGTTGGATCAGCCTGTAGTGTGTTTTTTTCCACTTAAATGTTGTGTGTGACTCCAAATCCAGACCCCCATTGGTTAAAAAAATTTGATTTAATTTCTGAAATTTTAGTTTTTTGCCAGGAATTTCAACTTTGAACAGAACAAAGTATTCAATGAGAATATTTTATTCATTCAGATATATGATGTGGTATTTGAGTTTTCCCTTTATTTATTTTTAGCAGTATACATACACCAGAGGTAGGAAAAGTCATAAGTCAATCTCAAGTCTTTCACCTCAAGTCACGTGTCAAGTCCAAAGTCATGACTGACATGTCCGAAATGACATGTCAGTAATTGGAATTAACCCTTCATCATCGGTTATGCTGCTGCAGGTGGATGTTGACAAAACTGCTAGAAGAAAACAAAAACAACAGGGTATATGAGACTACTTAATGGCATGCATATGATAATATATGTGCAGAGCATGTTCTTCCTTTACAACTTTAACACTAATGTCACAGAGAATATCTAGAGGGTGTAACATATAATTAAAGTGGAATACTTAACTTACCCATTCGGTTTTCAACATCAGTATTTGGAGGGACACACTATCCTCTCGAATTTTTATGATCCTAAAGAAAGATGAGAGGCAAACATAAGTCAGTTAAAAAATAATGTTACACTTCAATATCACATCTATTTTATTTAAATGTTCTTTTTTTTATTTTGTGTATAAAATGTTAAGTCCAATGCAAATTTCCCCCTCTGAGCAACACAGTTTATCTAATCATCATGCATACTTTTACATACAAGGTTACTAGCAAATACAAACTTATTTTAAAACCTAAACTTATTTTACGCAAAAAC